CTGATGATTTAGTAAACAATTTGAGAGAGTATGAATTTTTTAAATATTATAAATTGCTTGTGAATGACTATAATAGTTTATATTATTTTTCAAACAATTTGATCGTGCTAAGTTTGAATGGCATTTTCTATTCTCACCTATATCTCAGAAGTATTTCAAAAATTAGCGAATCGAGTGATAAATCGGCTCGACAACCCATGAACAGAATGAAATTTAAGAGTATATATGTTCCCAGCAACCACATTTTTTTTCCACATGAAGCTGTGGTGGAAAACTTAATTCAGAAATGGTGACTGGTTGAAGCGCCTTATCATCAATCAGGTATTTGTTACAGGGATCAAGATTATAAGATTCCTGAACTATGCAACAAGGTTAAGGATTTCGCAGCAAGAATGTGTCCGAAAACGTGTGCGATGTGTTGTAAAGCAAAGGAATTTAATTGTCACGATGGTCAGTCGTTTTCTTTTATTTATAACTTTAAAGAAAGCAAATCATAGCAAATCCATTTGTTTCCTTTCAGTCAATCCCCATGCATGCCAAAGGTTGGATAGAAATATTTGTTTAACTGTACCTAGCGTAGCACTATCGATGTGCCCATTTACATGTGGCCTTTGTCACAGACCAGGTGCTGCTGGAATGTGTCCAGATGAAAACGAAAATTGTGCGGCTATTTTCAATTTGGACCCTACATGCAGTACGGATTTCATGAAGAGGTCTTGCAAGAAGACATGTAGACTAACGGATTGCTTACCAGGTTGATTTTCGAGTTTCGCACCACAAGATACATTTTCTGCTGTGAATAGCCTTTTTATTACAACCATCGATAAATAAATAATATTTTCAGTTAATAGCAATTCATTTAAGATTTATTACTTATTAATGTGTATTTTCAAAAGTTTAAACAAGGTCTTCTGTATTGCAGGTAATGCAACTTCAAATTCGTCAACTTGTACCGATTTACACCCTCAATGTCAAGCAAATGCCCGGTATTGCAATATAGGCGACTATGGAGTTGTAATGAGTCGAGTTTGCAGATTAACTTGTCGTCACTGTACTCCTTAGAATCATTTTTTAAATCATTCTATCTAATTATCTGCTTGTTCTTGTACCGATTTACACCCTCAATGTCAAGCAAATGCCCGGTATTGCAATATAGGCGACTATGGAGTTGTAATGAGTCGAGTTTGCAGATTAACTTGTCGTCATTGTACTCCTTAGAACCATTTTTTTAATAATTCTATCTAATATTCTTCTTGTTCTGATATCTCAAACCTATGTAAATGCAAGGCGAATTGTTAACTCAATGTTAGCTTATCATCAACGTTATCATGAATTTCATCGATCAAAAAATTAAACGAATCATCTCTCACTGGTTCCATTTTTCATCATGAAATTGATTCAAAAGCTCACTCTTTTGGCTTTACAACCACTGTACTCCTTAAAATCAATCTTTTTATAATTCCATTTAATTGTCCACTTATTTGAACGGTCATATAAATATTATATTTTGTTTTTTGTTTAATTAATTTTGAATGGACAAAAAAAACGGCTATCATCCTGCTTTCTCTTATTTGTTACTAATATGGCTTAGGCTTATTCTTCGGGGCGAAAGTCATCGCATTTTTACAAATTTGACCATATGCTGAAGAATGGAACGTGGAAAAAGAAGGAAATTTGGCAACTCCTTAGAGAAAAAAGAATATTTTTTATTGCACAAGTATTGAGATTTTAAATCATTTATTATAGAGGGTTTAATTTATTAAATTTGAAATTTCGATAAAAAAGACCATCTCTATCAGTACATTTTATCAAAATTAGTATCTTTCTCAAGAGAAATAATTCCCCTTATTCATAAGCTTAAAGCTAATAATTGAAATCTTCAAATTTTTACCATCATCATTTAACGCATCTTCAAATTCCTGGTATGAAAGAAAGGAATATGATGATTGGAGTAAAATAATTCTGCTCCCAACTCTTCAGGAAAATTTTTACTTCTTTTCTGCTGAATAGCGAGATAGGATGAATCCTAGCTAGATTCAGACGGAAGCTTAGTACTGATGCGTATTATATGCAGGCGAATGATGGAACATCAAATATCCGCAACCCATTGTTACATGTTTCATCGAGTTTGTGGCTGCCATCGATTCAGTAGATAGAATGGCGTTTTGAAGGGATATGGGTTATGACGAGGTTCAAGAGATCACCCGACCTATAAAAGCAATTTATCAGCTTATGTCTGTGTAATCTATGTGTATCTGGAGAACTGACAGACTCTTAAATAAAAACTGGTGTCGTCAAAGCTGTGTCTTTTTTCCTACAATATTCAACAATGCGATAGACTGGATATTAGGCATAGCTTGCCGGTATCAAAGAGATGGACAAATAATTTTGGAACATTATATTTTAAATAAGCTGACAGTTATAACGAAATATAAATAATACTGAATAATGTGTGAATAATCGCGAGCTATGAGCCAATGAAATGGAATAAATATTACCAAATGCAATAAATAATTTCTTAAATTTTTGCAAAGCTTTGTAAATTTATTGTTTAACAAATTTTCTACTTAACTGAGCCAAATTAATATTAAAAAAAATAAAAAGTAGCTGAAGAAATTGCTAAGTAATGAACCGTTTTTTCCTCAAGTTTTTAAGTAAATTTTTGTTTTACTTATAATCTCTCAACATTTATCCGAAAACTTTTTATATTTATCGGCAAATTTCGTGAATTTTTGTTAAATTTTATTTAGTTAATTAACCGCCAACGAACAATGCATATTTGCTTTGACGAAAGCATTTATTATTTTAAAACGACAAATATTAGGAGACTTTTATTCTACAAATATCAACGATTTTTTCTAATTTTTGATTAGCATCTATGGTTATCATCACCTTTCGTCATTATTGCCCATTATTATTATCACGCATTATCATTGATCGATATTTGACCCCTAATTACCGGCTTTGCACACATCACTAAAGCGATTGTACGTGAGAAAAGCTTGCCTTTTACTCGAGCTTCTCACAATACCACAATTTATCGCGAACATGTACTTCTAATTTTTGAGGAGAACTTGGCTAGTTCCTTTTTGGAATATTCTATTCAAAAATTCACATCTGATTTTACCACATTCCCTTACTTATTTATATGTTTCAGCATTTATTTCGATAAATCGAATATTGTGCATGCAAATAACGAATCAAAATATGAATTAAAAGATTCTTGCATGAATACGAATAAATTTATGAATTAATCGTTTAACTATCAAAATAACTTTTAAAAATGTGTAAAATATGAAAAAAATATTTCATATTGAGATTAATGTTTTTTCGCTTTTTGAATTTCTTTGAAAGAAATTTTTTGAAATTTCTAGTGGAATTTATGGAATTAAAAATAAAATTATATGCGTATAAATAGATTTAAACATCTGAATTTTTATGAATTTATATTTATATTTATATGAATATTTAATATTGAATAAATATAAATATTGCAAATAAATATTGAATAAATATTGTTAAACATCAGATGAGAAACAAAACTTCAGAAAATTTTATCATATCGAATCCATCAATGTATTCTGTCGGTTAATGGGCTGATTATAGATGCAATACAATTTGGTTAAAGATGGAATTAAAATAAGGAATGTCGAGAAATTTCTAAACAACAATCTATGACATTACAAAATATAATATATTAAAAGCATTATGTCGATTAGCAATGGCCACAAGTTCGCCTGCATTGCGTTCTCATCACGATTCCATAATCACCAATATTGCAAAGGTTTCGATATAACGTGCAATTAACGTGTGCATCAATGCAACCACTGGATTGAGAATCTGCTGTTGAAAATCAAAATTATTATTTTATTCAAATCGTTTTCGTTGGATTAATTTAGCAATGGTGTCATATATGATGAAGAAATGACATTAATTTCAGTAATTTTCTTATAGTACCATTTTTTGTCATTTTGAATCTAAATGAAAAAATAATGGTACAATAAAGACTTTCTTGAAACTCACTTGTGAGACTTTGAAGACAAGCCCTTGAAAAGCACGTTCGTTGACACATATTTCTAATAGAATCATCATGACAAAATCCCCTTAAATTTTCGCATCCATCAATGCTGTCTGGACATTCACCACCAGCACCAGGCTTATCACAAAGTCCGCATGTATGTGGACAAAATTCTAATGCAATTTTGCTAAGAGAAGGCGTTCTGCACATTTCTTGTGTAAAATTTTTGCATTGGCCCACTGAAATTTTTACTATATTTAATTCAATATCTAAAATTCTTCCTAAATTTAAATTGAGTTTTAAATTCTGATTTAATTTTGAAATCATTTAAGCAAGTTAAAACCATTTCTGCAGTTGAACCTTCTTGTTTTGCAGCATGTCGCACATGCGCGTGGACATAATTGTTCGGCTAAGCGCACATAAATTGGCATTTGGCATTTTTCGCTTACTTTATACTCCATTGTACTGAAATACCGCATTACCATAAAAAAAAATTAAAACAAATTTTATTTCATCACTTTTTATAGTAATACTGATTTTATTTTTGAAACTTCATTGAAAGGTATAAACAGATTAAATAACCATTTATTTTTAAATGATTCAATGAATAACGAAAATTTATTACGGATTGTGTTGTCCTTGAATTGTTTGGTCTGGAGTATGCAACGCAAATACGGCCGAACATCCTTCTATGTCGAGATCATAGCACAGATTTGGATCCACTGTTGGACGTTGTATAGCTGCCGCAGCTCCTCCAGCTACTCCACCCACTCCGCCTACTCCGGCCATTCCGCCTACTCCGCCTGCCCCAGGTTGTGGTGGTGGTGGTTGAACTGCTTGGTTGCATACATTAATTGCTACATCATTCCCCGCATTTATGGGAGAAATAAAAAAAAAGAGAGGTAGATACATGAAATACATCACCAGCTCTATAGTTAACTCAAATAAACAATTTGGCACTTTTAGTAGCCTTTTTATATTCTCTTTTGTTTACTCTCAAACGAAATAAATATTCATTAATAAAGCTGCAGTGATAATGGAATTTTTCATTCATTCAGTTTAATTCTAAAAAATTTTAAAAAATTTATTTTACTTTTTTACTTATTCTATTACAATTCTATTTTCTATATTATTTTTCATTTTCCTTGAATTTTCATCAATTTTTGAATTATGATTTCTATTTATAATTTTTGTCATTTATTATATTATTTATCAATTAATTTTTACTTATTGTATTACAATTCTATTTTCTATATTATTTTTCATTTTCCTTGAATTTTCATGAATTTTAGAAATATGATTTCTATTTATAATTTTTGTCATTTATTATATTATTTATCAATTAATTAATAGACGCCATTGAGATTATTAATTATGAATGTTCGATTTTACTATTTTCATGAATTGAGCAGTGCAAAAAAAATCTCAATGGCCTCTATTTTTTTTCTAGAAATAGTTTTTCTAGAAATAATTTTCTAAATTATTTTTTAAAAAAATAATTATTAATATCGATCACGACAAATATAATTATTAATAATGGTATTATTAATTTTAATATTATCATCATTATTATAAATATTATTAAATATAATTATTAATAATGGTATTATTAATTTTAATATTATCATCATTGTTATAAATATTATTTTTGTAGCATTATTTCTTTATTAATAATTATTATTGCAATAATATTCGTGAAATGTTTCCTCGATGGGTGCCAATGGCGCTTTCGTGGATCAATGCACTATTAAAAATCACAAATTATTTGAAGAAAAGAAATTTTTTTCCTACTTCCGGGAATCTTCGAACTGAAAACAACGCAAATAAATGTCATATAATATAATATATTGCTTAAATTTTATGGTTACTTTATCATTTTAATTTTTTTAAATTCATTGAAAATTTAATTAAATGTTTGTTAAATTCAAAAACAATGAAAAAATAAAAAAAGAAATTTACAGAACGTCCTTTTTTCTTTAAAGTTATTATCAACAGGAACATTTTTATTTTATATTATTTTATCTTCTCTATTTTGCGATAAAAACCTCTTTTATTCATCTTCAACTTCCCAAAAAAGTTTTTAAAAATTCAAATTTTTTGAAATTTTGGGTTTGGCCTGCACTGAAGTTTTTTACTTATTTCATGCAATAAAAGGATTTTTTTATTGAATGATTTTAAGATTGACAAAGATTTGGCTAAATTTTTTTCCATATTTATTCTATGAATTCTTGAAATTCGCTATCCATCATTATTAAAATTTTATATGTTAAAGCGCTTTCTACAGTAATATTGTATTATTATAGAATTAAAATCTTTAGAATTATTAATACTGTCGCGAAAAGGCGAAAAAAGCTATAAATTTGAGCAAATAAACCGGATTCCCGCTCATCTTAAATTAAATATAAGCTCCCAAAAGATCAATTTTAGTCATTTTTGTGTTTTAATAGGGGAAACGATTGGGGCAGCGGTGGGTGAGTGATGGGCATTTAGTTTTTATATTTGATTTCTTTGACTGTATTATTTCGTTGTAGTAGGGCAATTACTTCGCTTTATTTTGTTGTATATATATATATATATATATTTACGTCTTTATTAATAAAGGTTTAATTACTCAAGTTTGAGGGTCGCAATGAGAAAAGTAAGAAGTAGAACGCTGACCGTAGAGTTTTTATGATAAAAAAAAAAGTCCCCGTGGTAAAAAGTTAAATCTATAC